AATAGCCATTGCTGTCTGGGGCTGATGACAATGTCTGGGAGATCCCAAGTCTCTCCCGCCCCTATCTAGACACTGCTGTTGGTACCCCAGATTCCATCAGCTGGGTCACTTTGCAGCTTCTAAGTATACAGTGCTACTATCAAGGAAGCGCTGAAGGGACCCCAAACAGCAAGCTTTCTTCTTCAATTCCAAGCCTAGTATTTTGATGGCCTCTGCACGAAGCGGCTCACGAATGGGATCTGATGCAGCCACAGGTCCCTCCATTGCAGCCTTCCCATTAAAGAGGGAACTGGCTCACTCATCAGTCACTGGCACACAGCCCACTTGGCAACTTACACATTGAGTCACTGGAAATTAGTTGAGACGTGGGGACTTAACTCAAAATTTAGTTTGGCTATAGCTACGAAGGAGAAGCGGGGGGAGAAGTACTTCGGGTTGTAGCCAGCGATTTAAGAGCAAAGACTTTATGTGACAGTTTGTGGGTGCTGGTGCTGACACTCATTAGGGCTGTTATAAACAGAGGAAATAAATGCCTGCTGTCGGGAGTAGCCAGCCAATGTAATGCTGTCCTTGAGTGGAGAATTCCCATACCCCACTCCCACAGATTTCACAAAGAGGAGATTGTCTCTCTAAAAAAAAAAAGACTTTCCAAGAGTGATAGAATAGCATGGTGAATGGAGGCTGTGGAGGTGAGGTGACCCCATGCTTACTATAACAACAAGAAGCAGCTGACTAATGGCCATTTGGTGCCATTAGTTACAAATGAAAAATCTTATTAATATTAAATAATAACAAGCAACAAGGGTAGTGCTGTAGCATCACTTTATATACAGAAGGTCCCAAATTCAATCCCCACTATCTTCAGGCAGGGCTGGAATTGTCTCCTGTTTGGAACCCTGGAGAGCTGCTGCCAATCAGGGGAGAGAATACTGAGCTAGATAGACCAATGGCTTCTTTCTATGCTCCCTCCCTGCGAGAAGTGAGGTTACAGGGAACCAGGCAGAGGGCCTACTCGCGAGTGGCGCCTGCCCTGTGGAACGCCCTCCCACCAGGTGTCAAGGAAATAAGCAACTTTCTTACTTTTAAAAGATATTTGAAGGCAGCCCTGTTTAGGGAAGTTTTTAACGTCTGACGTTTTATTGTGCTTTTAATTTTCTTTTGGCAGCTGCCCAGAGTGGCTGGGGAAACCCAGTCAGATGGACAGGGTATAAGTAAATTTGTTGTTGTTGTTGTTGTTGTTGTTGTTGTTGTTGTTGTTGTTGTTGTTATCCTGTGATGTAGATTCTGCCTGTCCACTTTTTTTTTACAACTGTTTTGCTTACATAAATAATATTATGCTCCTTCCATCTCAGCAAACGTGGTTATACCCCTAATTACCATTTTTTCCTTTATTATACCAGACAATTGGGATAGCTTCCAGGTTGTCGCTAAGCTGATTTTAACAGCACTTCATTAGTTACTGCAGCCTAACAAGATTGCAAACAGATTGTATTATATTTTACGCCCATTAATTTAGTAAACCTCTGGATTAGCCTGCTCCTTTATCACTTTACAATCCTATCAAATATGAATGAAGTCTGCACTTGATCAGGCAAGACAGGGAGCCCACCTGTTAATCGCCAAAAAAGGGAGCATGTTCACCATTTAGAATAACTGCCAAGAATACAATATGAATTGCAAATATACGTATAAAAGAATATAATGTTTTGCTGGTAATTCTAGGCACAGAGTTTCACAAAGTGTGATTTGCAAACTACTAGAATATTGACAGGGAGAAACTTAGTCCGTGACTGCTGTTGGCCCAGGTGCCTTGAATTGGAGATTAAGCAATACGAAGAAAAGGAATATGTATGAAGTAAGGGGAGAAGTGGTAGAGCAGGTTATCCGAAGCAGTAGGATGGAGGAATAAACCATTTTACTATATAAGGAGTTTGGTAGTTGCCACATTATCGAGTTTTGTTCACATCAGAATGCCTCTTGCATCAAGTGCTCATTTATACCCAAGCCCCTCATGCATTTGTTGGGTTAAAAAAAAATCCCAGTTAATAAGATGCAAAATTATACACCAAAAAATGTATATAAAAGGCTGCATCCAATGTTTGTCATGCTCAAAGGAGACCCACTAAAGTTAATAGGCACAAGTAGCATGAGTTCATTCATTTCATTAGGTCTATCATCATTTTATGAGTATAAACACCGAAGTATTTTGACAGTCATGTGCATTGTTTTATGTATCTGTTCCTGTGCTGGTGTCTTTCGGAAACATGGAATTTATCTGTGTATAATATTATACTGGAATAATGAATATAATATGTGATAATTGCTTGCATTTTTTAGTGGAACTCTTTTCCATCAAGATCATTGTGACCCTGGGCCACAAACTGCATATCCGATGGTTCAGAGGGAAGGTTGACATGGAAGATCTAGCAGGTTCAAAAAGGAAGAAGCTTATGATGACGACATGTGGTTTAAGAATCACTGCCGTATTTTAGATCCAGAGGAAAGTTGGCAGGTTTGAATGCAGCCGTGCAGATTCCCTGAGCTCCCCCCATCCCTTCAACAGTTCCATACTGGTTAACCTCAGAAAGAAAAGAACTTTTCTCCACAGTCATGACAACTACACTCCCTCTGTGATTTTAGAGAACCAAATTAAGAGAACAGTCAAAACACTATACTTCTCCATGTTAGCTGATCTCAGCTCATGGCCCAAGAAGTGTGTGGTGTGGGGAGAGAGGATGGATAATTACCTCATGGGCTGAGTCCTCAGAGCTGTCTTCAAGTCTTCAACTATTTTATTCCTCATTTCCGTTTCTTCTTCATCAAATGCATACAAGGTCTGCATCTGTTTGGACGAGGCAAAGAAACAGTGACAAATCCAGCACTGGACGAAAGTTCAGAGAAATCTGAGGCTACTGAGCAACTCAGGATTCATCCATGAGAGCTTTTTGCCAAACTAAACTGGAGATGCTGCTGGGAAGCTCACCAAGAAAGCAAAGTTTTCACCAGAAACAAAGCTGGGTAAAAATGGGCTTCTGCCTAAGGACCAAAGAAGTCTGGGTCTTTAAGTGCAAAGTTGTTGCTTTTAACCAAATGGACACTGTGGGGTGGCTGATATGGATCAGATTTCCAGTGTGGGAATTTTAATCTTCTTCTACCCCACCACCCAAGGTCCTGATTCAGTTTGTGCCTCCAGAATAAGCAATTTAGATAAGGGGAAGACTCCCATGCACTTTACTTAGGAGCTTTCACCCCTTTGCAAACACCAAAATGGGATCCCCAGCACAGATTAGGACCACAGTAGGGAAAATCCCCTAACCTCCTATAACTAGGATCCCAAACTGGATCGGGCACCTGGCTTGCAATGAGGTAGGCAAAAATCACAGGACCAGAGCCAATTTGCCAAGTGGGAAAATTACTGCCTGGCTCAGAATAGGGCAGCCAATGAAGTCTATAGCAAGGTCATGCATGCACAAACTGTCAATATCTGAGGGAAGGAGATCTGGTGATGAATTTAGTGAGGAAGCCTGGGCAGACCTCAATTTATTCCCCAAGCATGGACCCAAGTGGACCCACAGGTGCAGTGGACCCCAAGCATGGACCCAAGGGCGCATGGACCCACAGGCACAGTTGGCTCCGCCCCTGGGGAGGGCCTGCACAGTAGCCTGCCTGCGATTGGCCAATTTGGAGTCCTGGCTGGCGTGTGACTCCACAGGCCAAGCCATGCTGCCAAGCCTTTCACCCAGGCACCAATGCTAAGAGCTGGATTGCGAAGAGGACAGGGCCAGGCAGCATCACCCCCTGACCATTTAGGGTAAGCTGACTTTTTAAAACAACAAAAAGAAGAAGAACTATGTGCTTAGGAGCACAGAAACGGAGCTAAAGCATCATTTGGTTTGGCCCTAACTAAAGCTGCAATCCTAAGAGCGGTTACTGTATTAGGTTAAAAGAAAATCACAAAGGAATGGAAGCCCTGTTGAATTCAATGCAACTCATTTCTGAGTAAATCTGCTTAGCACATCTTGTTTTTCACTTTGGGTCCATTTTGAATGAATATACTGTGATGAAAGCTAAGGCGAGCTTGAAGAAACAGCCATGCTCCGTCCTTCCAAGGCACTTACAATAACATCTTACAGCGAAGTCTTTCATGCAGTGTTCAGCACAAATCAGATAAAATCTCACTTTCCTTGGAGAGCCTCTTTGCCCCACTCCCCAAGCCCTTCTGTGTCACTTTGTGTTTGCAATTCATGCCATGCCAACACATGTCAAATCTTCAGGGTGGTCAGTTGATGAAGCAATGTGACTCTTCTACACTCTGCAGCTGGCACAGGGAACTGGATTTAACTCCAGGGAGATACATACACTGATTCATGCTAAAGTCAAATTCGCTCAGTTAAACGGAGCAAGCCTCCTCCTCTTCTAAGGGAGAGCAACTGATAGAAAACAAGGAAATAATGTTTGTGCCGGCATCCCTGCCACAAAGCCAGAAACAAAACAAAACTGAAGCACTCTAGCGTGTCACATGACCTGTGGCCCTCCAGCTTCCAACAGCCATGGTGTCTGGGGCTGATGGGAGTTGGAATCCAGCAATATCTGTGGGCCACAGGTTCCCTATTCCTGTCCTAGAGAACCATGCTTATTTGGGGGGAAGATGCAGTCTCAATGACAGGTTCCTCAGAATGTGATCTGGAGCTAAACTTGTGTTCCTTTCTGCAGTGGCTTATCAGCACCCTCTTTTTTTCTGCAGCGCCAGGGAAGGGGGTTGACCCACCAGTGCCCACTTTTGAAACATATACTGAATTTTATTATCCCTATGATTTAGGGTGCCATGAGTATACAACTAGAGCTTGGTTGAAATTGAAGGATTCCTGAATCCAAAACGAAACAGAGCCAAATAATCCCAGCATTCTGGGATAATTATAGACAATTAGAAGCTGCTGTCAGCAAAAAGTTGTTCTCACTCCTACACAGTCTTGGCCTCTACAATTGTTTCACTTCATTATCATGAAGTTATTTCATTGTGTGGTCACATGACTGCTCTGTCATTACAGTCATGTGACCACACAATGAAATGACTTCATGGCAATTTATCTGCAAATAACTAAAAAAGAATAAAACCCTCACATAGTGACTTTGTCACCTTAGCTTTCTAGGGGTGGTGCTTACCTGGCACCACTTCAATGGGGATTGCTAAAATCACCCTATCAAAGACAGAGTGTGGTAGGTAGGCAGTCTACACAACGTCTGCAGCTAGCACTAGCAGGCAGGAGCAGCACCATCATCATAACCAATAATATTTATATACGGCTTAATAGGCAAAATCCCTAAGCAATCTATATAAAACCCAGTAAGGTTGGAAAAGGGAGGTGTATATACGACATTTGAAACCCACAATGGAAAGAAATGCATCCGTAAAAACAGAGAAGCCATCTCTAAAACATGAAGTTAAATATCAATGATCTTACGAGTCAGGGAATGCTTGCTTTAAAAGATGGGTCTTTAGGAGGTGTCTCAACCCTGTCCAGACAGGGGAGGTTGGCATATCAGTCAAAGCTGATGGAAGACACTCCACATCACTGAGCCCACTTCAGCCTCAAATGACAGTGAGGGATCCAGAAGTATCCCCAAGATACACACCTGCCCCATCAGACGGAGTGCAACCCCATCTACATCTCAGAGCATATTGCAGACTCATCACCATCTAGATCTGCTATCTCCTCATTCCTTTTAATCTGCCTGCACCTTAATTTGAACTGCAATTCTATACACCCTCACCTGAGAGTAAATCTCACTGAACCCAATGAGACTTGCTTCTGAGCAGGCACACATAGGATTACACTGTTCTGTCTTCTTCCCTCCGTTGCCTATCATTAATAGTGGGGCAGAGAGAAGCAAACGAAAATGAACCAAGTAGATTTAGCGTCCATCTCTGAGATGTGCTGAAAGACGTATTTTCTTTTCTGCTCTATAAAGCTCTTGTGCTGCAAGCAAATCATTTCCAAACCATGAAAAATAAATGTGTAACAGCTGTATTGATGACCTCTGACACACACATACACCCTCTTTTAAATGTCATGTGCTCAAGATAGCTGTGGCTCTAAAGAGCTACTTCTGAAGAGCTACTTCATTTGCAAACCATATATATCGGAGTGCTGATGTTGACAAGCTTCCAAAAGCAACATGGGGGTGTAAAGGTAACTTTTCTGTTCCACAGGAAAGCAGGGAATGGGTTTATTTGGGTTGCTAGGCTTAGACGATTGAAGACAGAAAGCAGAATGTCTAAGCGTTCATGTGCTCATGTTGTTGGGAGAGAGGGAAAGAAATGAGGGAAGCAAAGGGCAACCATTTCCATATAAGCACCCATTGGTGCCAAGATCCATTCTAGTGGATTACCATGTGGATGGCACATGTTGGCTGGGCCCACTTCAACCATGGCTCCATGTTGCAGTGAGAGGGCAAGGAGGGAATAATACCAGAACAGCCAGAAGGGCTATAAGCTGGGTGGTAGAGTATGTGTTCTGAATGCAAAAGGTCCCAAATTCAGTCTCCAGCATCTTCAGGTAGGACTGGAAGAGACTCTTGCATTAAATGCTGGAGAGTCCCTGCCAATCAGTGGAGGCAGTACTGAGCTAAATGAACCAATGCTCTGACTTAGTATAAGGCAGCTGCCTACATTCCAATCAAAGATAAATTTTTAGAAGGAGGCCTAATATTGTTTTTCCATTGGCTAGCCACTCATTGGCAAGAACACTGCAAGGTGGAAACAAGTTCACTTCTTAGTAAACTACTGGGTAGAATATTGCCTGCACACTTTTCCTTCTTATCTCCACCAGTGCTATTTTTCTAGAAAAAGAGGTGCCAGAACTCACTATGAATTCCTCCCTTGTTCTCTTATAATGGCAATGGTGCCCATCTGAGAAGTGCCAGAACTGAGTTTCAGTGAGTTCCTGCTGAAAAAAGCCCTGATTTCCACAAGTGGTTTAATGTTTATGGTGGTTCAGGGTGGTATTGACTCAGAGTAGACCTACTGAAACGAATGGACCTAACTTAGCCATATTGTAATGGATCTACTCTAATAGTTAGTTGAATGTTACCATTATTGTAAATTAAACACATAAATTAATTAAAGAAAATAGACACATACTCTACTGCTCACAAAGGCTGAAAATTCAGGAAAGGGGTCTAGAATATCTCTGAGAAGTCAGACCCTACCACAATATGGGAGTGGGGGAAACTGATACGACAGTGTCTCTAACCCACTATGTCAGAATAGTCAAGGCAACCATATTCTCAGAGAAAGCAACTTTTCGACAGTATGCCGAAAGGTACTTACTGCAGCCATGGAGTTGATGCGGTCAATGTAATAGTCTGGCCAACTTGTAGCAAGCTTATTAGGGTCTTCTTGCTCCTGAAAAGAGAAAATCAAAATTATATGAGATATATAAGAGATTGCCACAATCATCATCATCATTCAAGCTATTTTCTTTCTGCACCATACTTAATTTTACACACCTCTGTCATGTCATCTGCTAAACTTACTTATCCCAACCATTGTACTTTTTCCTCACAGGGCAAGTTGCTCCAACTTGTTTAAAATTTTGGTTGCACTTTGGTGAACTTTTCAGAGCTATACAGCATCCCTTTCAAACTGTGGTAACCAGAACTGTACACAATGTTCTCAACCACAGATTTGTGTAATGGCATTTTATTACTGGCAATTTTATTTTCAACCCCTTTCCTAAAGATTTCTAACATGGATTTTCCCTTTTCAGAGCTGTCACACACTGGGTTGTCATTTTCACTGAGGTATCCATCATGACTTCATCTGAGATATGTTTCCTGATCATCATCACTGCCAGCAGTTCAAACCCTATACAGTGGTACATCGGGTTACAGACGCTTCAGGTTACAGACTCCGCTATCCCAGAAATAGTACCTCTGGTTAAGAACTTTGCTTCAGGATGAGAACAGAAATTGCGTGGCGGCAGCGGGATGCCCCATTAGCTAAAGTGGTACCTCAGATTAAGAACAGTTTCAGGTTAAGAACGGATCTCCAGAACAAATTAAGTTCTTAACTCGAGGTACCACTGTAAGAGCATATGTTAGGATATTTTACCCAAAATTTGCATCACTTTACACTTGTTTACACTGAATTGCATTTGCCGTTTTAATGCTAACAAACCATGATCTCCAAGTCAGATGTTATGCTGAGCTAGATACTGTAGTTTGCTTCTCCCTTATGAATATTATTTGCAACTTGTCTCCAGGGTTTTACTTGTGTTCAAGTGAACCTGAGTAGAAGCACCCTGAACTCCTCCCCCATTTAAGACAGGAAGGTTGGGGCTGATGCCCACTGAGATGCAGGGCTTCTAAGCATGTCCCTGATCCTGTCCACACTTTTAAACATCACAAGTTCAAGCAAATGGCTAAACACAGCTCTTCCAATTTCCTTGTTTCCACTAGCAAGTAACAATAAAGTACCACAGTGCCATGAGTAAATGGCAGCCCTTTCTTTGCTTAAAGGGAGGAGAGGGTTAGATGAGCAGTTTGTGTCTGCTTCATGGAGCTGCAACATTTCCAGTCACTGGGATGCTTCCTCCCATGTGATGCCTCCCTACAGAGGCAAACTTATGTTAGGAAGAATAACTACAGAAAACTGCTGTTTGTGCACATCAGGCATATCTATCTTCAGTTCATAGCAGAAACACACAATACAAAGTTGATAACCAGTGCATTACTTTTAGATAATACTGTAATCGTATCATGACTCGAATACAAGAACAGACACAGAGAGCTAATCTATGCCTACTTAAATAAAGGTCATTCCAAAGAGGGCTATGCTTATATGGAATCTCATTTATAAATGATTGAGGTAGAGAAAGCTTTTAAATTTATCCTCTCTTTTCTTTTCCACCAGTTTTCATGTATTAACTATCAATCATATTGTGAGTCTAGTCTAAGGATTTGCCACTATTTTTTATCCCTGTTTTCAGGGGAGGGGGAGCTAGGTTGGTCTTGTGTCCTATTTTACAGTCCTCTGCTTGGAAGGGCTGTCAAAGGACAGTTCTCTATTTTAGAGGCAAAGTATGATTTAAAGATAAGGAACAACACAAAGGGGGAGCAGGAACCTTGAAGTTGACCATCCATAGTTAGCAGCGCCTGCTGTCTTCCCCACTATGTGTTGAGTCCTAGAGGTAATTACTATTTTTAAATTTGCATCTATACATATCAGGTTTACCTTTAAATTTGCATCTATACATATCAGGTTTACCTTTAAATTTGCATCTATACATATCAAATGCAATCAAATCTATACATATCAAATGCAAGTTTTATGCAGATCTGTGTCTTCCTTTTTCCTCTGAGAAACATGAGAATTATTGTTATAATTATTATTATTATTATTAAAAGTTGCTTTTCTAAATATCAGTCCTGAATACAAATTGGATGTAGATATTTCACACACCCATTTCCCTGGATCCACTTCCAGACTTTAGTTTTTACTGAATACAAGGAGCTGAAATAATCACAAGGGTGATTTTGTTCTAAGTGTCAAAACATTTTACTACTTCAACCTTTATTCTAGTAAGCTTACGAAGTGTGTGAGAAATGGGTTAAGACAATATTGACCAGCTACTATTCAAATAAGCTCTTCTATCTACAGCAAATGCAGGAAACCCCTTTTTACGTCCACCAAAGCCATTCTTGCAGACACAAGAGTTTGGGATGTATTTGAGATACAATTATTCATACCATTTGATAGTGGCTCATCTCACCTCTCCTCTTAGCCAGCTGCTGGGTGAACATTTATAAGAATCAGAATTTGTCTGGAGAGGCCCACAAATTACTGCTCTCTGGGGGAAGGGCACTGTTTCCATTTAAACACAAAACACAAAACTGAGTATTTCGGAACCTGGATCAGCAAGGAAACTCTTGTGTCAGATGACTGCAAGACAACTTAGTATGAGTGGTGGGGAGGAGAGCTTTCATGCACCAGGAGATGCAGAAGGAACACATTGGCCCAACTCTCTAAAGCTCAACAACTTTTGGGGTGTCCTGGTTTTTACTTTTTAAAATATGGC